CACACTGAGAAGGACTTAAAACCACATACAGCTTGTAGAGCATGTCCACCTGGAATTACTAGGTAGCTAGGCATGTTAATGCAAACGACAAATATATTGGCAGAAGAAAAATACTGAACATTCAATAGGATTAGAGGAAAAAATAGTAAGTGGGAATAGTATGAAAACTACTGCTGGGTGAAACATTCAATTCCAGACTGGAACCCACTCTTCAAACGAAAGCTGCTGAAACTTGTAGAGTTCAAGAAGTCTGAAACACATGCATTATCATGACAGGCTTTAAAAGTTGGAACCTAATTTACTGAAAAAAGAAAAAGAAAAAAAAAAGGAGATTGAGAGGTGACTTAAAAGTGCCTTGCTTGTATTTCACTGGAGAAACAAGGACTTCTGACAATAGAAGGAATTTTACTGTATCAGGGAAATATGTACGAAGGTATAATTGCTGGGAACTGGAGTCAGGCAAAACCGATGACAAATAAGACACGTTTTCCTTTGACTGTGAACAGTGAACGCTTTGGAGCAATCTGTGTACAGATGTAATGGATTAATAGCAATTTGATATCTTTTAAATGAAGAGTTGATGCCTTCCCATAAGACACTCACTCATTCTCACGGGGTTTAAAATAGTGAGTAGTGGGCAGCTTGCGTGGCCAGTATTATTCAACAGTGCAGACCAGATGGCCATAGCCATCTCTGGCCTCAAAATTATTGAAATGCTAGTAAATAGACTCAAAAATGTTTACAAAATGGGGACGTGGAAGAGAGAGGAGACACCAGTGCTTGGGAGCAGGCCAAAAGCTTAACGAGCCACTGAGAACCAGCATGAGCACATTTTGGTCCCATACTTCCACAGGGGTTAGGGCTGGGAGAGACACAGAGGTTTGTTTAGAGACTGTTTGTTCTAGCTAAATTGTTTCCAGGATCTAGTTAGAAGTATTTAGAAAACCCTTTCATTAGCTAAGGATAGAAACTAATCTATGCAACCATAGTAAGTAACATTTTTCCAGGTTCATGTAAGACAGCTCTGGGTCCTCCCATATTCATCTGGCCTCTTGCTTAAGGAATTAGTCATACCTGGCCTCTCGACCACAGTCTCATTGTAACCAGACCAGGATTTATCACATAGAGCACGGTGAAAAAAATCTGACCATTAATAAGGGGCTTAGGTTTGTGGACAGTAGTAGATTTCACATATTTAGCTGCCATCGCTAAATATTAAGAATATAATATAGAAATATAATACATATGTTCTTATATAAAACACAGAAATATAAACTATGTGTTATTATAAACATATATAAAATAATAGAAATATTACACATTAAGAATAAAAAGCTTTCTGTAATTTCCAGTCTTCTGCAACAAAAAGTCTATTTGTTTTTGTTATCTGCCCATAGCTTTCACTCACACTTCAATCTCGGCTTGCTTGTCATGTATCATCATTTCCTGTAATTTAAACCACCCAGTCACATTTTCATCTTTGGGACTCCCCCTGAATAGCACCAGCAAAACTGTAAACAGCTGATTCCCTCCTCTTTCATCAATGAATGTTTCCAGATGTTTTTTGAAGGTTTTACCTTTCCTGTAAGGTACTTCTGCTTGTCCTTCATACTCCAATGTCCAAGCAAGAACCACTGAAACCCACCACGTACAAATTACTTGAACTATTTTAAAATTTCACTTGGATCTTCGTCATATTTGAGCTTTCAAATACCTTTACATAATCTTTACATAATGTGACCAAGAGTATTTGTGTAATAATTTCTGCATGAATCCTCACAGAAGAATGCAAAAACTAATAGGGAAACTTTATCTTGATAGTGCTTCTGTAAAACTTTACCTGAAATTTTATAATTTATATGTGATCATTATACATTTCCAGCAAGATCAAGATCAGCCATAGAGGCTAAAACTTTTATACTGGTTTCCAATACCAGCTGCCACACATGAGAGTTCCTCATCTGTTTAAAAACAGTCAAAAGACTGCTTTTTAAAGAACACGAGTTTGTTAAGAATAAAGTTAAGAAATAAGTAAAGGAACTGTCAGAAAATCTTACAGCATAATTAAGTTACAGCAAATTGAAGCCACTGAAATCTCTCTCATGACTGTACGGCCAAGCACTGAAGCAATGCAGGTAATTGCTATTCGCAATCCCATAACCAAGGACAGTCATTTCCTGTGAAGAGCTAAAACTCTTCCATAAAACAAAAAGTTTAGAAAAGCAGCACATTGTCGTAAACGATTACATTTTGATATAAGATACAAAGCCAAATTTTGCAAGATCTTTCTAAATGAAAAGCACCGTGCAGAAACAACTGTAAGAAACAGTTTCCTTCATACGAAACTCATAGTTTTAATCTATTATCCGATCCGGGTTGACTAATTTTTACTGCTGGAGGCTAGATGTAAAAATCAGGGTAAACTAACACTACTGGGTTTAAATATCTGAATTTTAAGCAATGATGGCTAGAAACACCCGTTTCTCATTAATTTGTCAGAATAGTCCAAATAAAGAAGTGTTTCAGTCCCACTGGTCAAGGTTCCTCCAACGAGCTGGAAGAAATTAGCCTGTATGCTTCCTTTATAAAGCATGATGACAAATCACAACATCTATTCTCCAAAGAGTAAAATTCTTAAAGGTAGATGTAAACATGCTGGTACTTCAGTGCAATGAACCCTTAGCATCAGTTCGTAATCAGACTGATAATGCTTGATTAATACTCGATTCAGGAAATAAATTCCAAAACATACTCCTCCCTCTACACTCTTCTAAGTTAGAACTTGAAATGTAAGTGATAAGAAAGAAGTTTTATGTAAGTGTAAGAAAGAATGTAACTGTAAGGAAGAAGTTTTAAAGAACTGTATACTACATAAAAACGTAAAATACTTTTCTTGTTATATCTGGAAGAGGCTAGCATTCTTCTTCTGGTACTGTATATGGGGAAAAATGAGCAAAGCCTCACACTGACCGCTTTCTTCAGACAAAACTAACTCCATAGATAAGCAGGAATTTCCTTGCACAGGGAAAGAAAGCAACACCAAAGGGGAAGCGCAATAGGAAAGGATAAAAGTAAACTCTTGAAGAGATTTTAGCACAAGGCTTCCAAAAAGCTGCCTGCTTCTTTGGCTGCATTAACAAAGGCAGAGTCTAATATTTTCACTCCTGTAGGGACCCTTCTCTGCTGCAAGTAGTCCAATTAGTTGAGGACATTTATCAATACGAACAAGCTATCAGCAAAGAACTCAGTTTTGTGATTATAATACAATTGTAATGAAGATCAAATGGAGCAAAATTACAGTGCTTCCTTCAAAATAAGTAAAACAACCTGTACCTAGATGAACTGCAAAATTAAAATTACTGTTACTATCATACAGATATTTGTTAAATAAATTTAGAAGTACCTGCAAAGCAAGGCTTTTCTTTTGTATCCACACATTTCTCTGTCAGAATTGAATGCAATTTCTGCAAGCTGGATACGAAGGACTTACCTCCTCTTGCTCTTCCTCACAGTTGGAGAGAGCTGCATGAGTGCATCTGTCACTCCAATGCAATGAGTTTTAAGAATCTACCTTTTAAAAGGTTGCAAGGTTGTAAAGTCACGTAGGGCATGCAAATAAAAGTGCTACGAAGGAAGAGCATCTAAGTTGTTAACAGGCTGTCGGATTATGAAACATTATCAACAGGTGAGACACTTTAACACGTGTGTCAGTGGTAAGAGAAACACAAGGAACTGCTGCAACACAGCACAGCTGTCTGACAGTTCGTCATCTATTGTGCCTCTTGGTGATCAGCTAGTTAAAATCTTTCACAAGGTGATTGCAAAAATCTTGCATCACAAAGCGATGCTAAATAGGAGACAAGACCAAAGATCAAATGAGATAAGAACATATCTGGGGCTAAATGACACTGCAACAGATGTGGCGACAGCTAGCTTGTGGCCACCCTGCCTCAGGAGCAGCCCCCAAAACAGCACCAGTGCCGCTTCAAACCCAGGAAGATGTTCTGCTTCGGGCTGGCTTGTACCACACCAGAGCTAATTCACTTGAGTCTCGTTTCCTGAAGTGCTGAACACCTGCAGTTTCCTCTGATTTCAGTTGGTGTAGAGGGTACTCAGCACTTCCGAAAAACAAGTGTTATGCATGAGCAGACGTGCTCTGAAGAAGCAGATGCTCCACAAAGCCAAAAACGCCACCAACTACAGAAGCCCTGTGAGCTTCCTCCAGAGCAGAGTTTGAAGTGCGTAGCTTTATACAGAGGTGTTTAAATACCTCCAGCAACTACAGAACAGAAATAGAGATAGGAAAATAATAATGCCACCCTCACTACTGTCAGTCTTGCAGTATTTTAGACATCCAAACAAAACGGGTGGTGCTCACTCTCTCCATGCTATCCTGGCAGGCAAAGAAACAAGCTGCCGCAGGTTCAATAGGATAAATCATTTTACATTTGGACAGGACGATTTCACACAAGAGGTGGATTTCTGAAACAGTATATGAGGAAATGTTCCTGTCGCCTTACTGAAAAACAGAAAACAGAGCAGGGAACAGCATTGCTGCCAACAGAGAAAACAGAAGAGCACGATTCTAAAAGCATATTGCTTTAGTGGTTTCACAGAAAAAAAAAGTTGACTTAAGTAACATTTGCCTAAAATGCAGAGAAATATAGATTAAATATAAACACAACTGTCTGAGGTAAAAGCAATAGCAGCTAGTTTGACTAGCCCAGGAGTTTGTTTTCATTAAAACGGTCTATTTTGTGCACTCTTCAGGTTAAGAGTGGGTGTCTGTGCGCATGTGGCCATATTGCAGGGAATTAAGAGCTACAGCTTAGCCCTCTGCAACCAGCAACAGGAGGATTTCAATTTTTCTGGAACACAAAAATTCTAAATGCATTAGGGATATAGGTATTATGATGTTCTTGTTCATTTGAGGTGATCCTTTCTTCAAAGGACAAACACCATTATAAGTGAGAACTATCACAACCAAAGCTAAGTCTTACATGATAAATTCCGTCAGGTTGCACCATTTTTTAGAGTCCACTTTCTTCATCATCTCTTCAAAGGATTTTCCACAGGCAGGCAACTTTTCTAACATGAGAGATTCATTGCAGAGATGAGCCTGTTGACGTGCACCTAGGTAAAATGAGAAAGCACCTTAAATCTCAAACATTGAAATGGAGAAAGCACAAACACATCACTTCACAAACTCCTTCACACAATTCTGCTTGCCACTTACGTTGTTGTAAACCTAACATTCCACTTTCTAAACAATTTTAGAAAATAGATAAAATATAACTTTATGTAAATTTATTAAAAATACAATTAGTATAAATTACTATAGGTTACCATATATAGTATCATCTTTTAGAGCAGCATAGAGGAACCTACCTAGTCACTTTTCTAATCTTACTTAGCTTCTACTCATACTGTCTTACTACTGCCCATTTGCATTTTTAGTTAAAAGCTAACTGGAGTTACTGATCATATACTTCAGCGTAGAAAGCACTTCTCAAGCTTACACAGATGCATCTTGTTCAACTAACTAAATGTACTTGAACATCAGAAACATTTGCATATCTTACCAGCTAAAGGGTTTGCATTCCCATAGTCACAATTAGGCTTTTTCTTTAGTATATCCCCTAAAGGAATTAACTACTGTTATCAGATGTTGATGTTACAGCATACAACTACCGGCAAAGAAAAAGTTAACCGTGACTTGAGTAAGTCTGCATCTTTTGCAACCTGTAACAGCAACTCCACAATATTTAGAGTCAAGTCAAAGGTTTTCCCCATCCAGCCCATGCCTTCAGTGGAATACAAAGATAGTATTTTGGTATTTCTTACAAAATTAAAATTCTGAAAAAAATCTATTCAAACTAACCAAAGCATTTGATTTTGATAAGGCTGAAACATTTTATTTTGATTAAGTAGTTAAATATGTCTTGCTTTACCTTTATAAATGCCACTATTTTGATTGGGTTTGTATATACAAATGCACGCATCTTGTAGAACATTAAAAATTACCTGTAAGTATATGTATGTCAACATATTTAATCCAAATGCCTAAATTAAATGAGTCAGAAAAAAAATAAATATTACTACTTCTTTTTGCAGCAGCACAAATTTAAGAACAGGATTTACCTGAACAAAACTGTAACCCTAACAAACCTGTGTGTCAGGCAACCCTCCAGAGAACTCTGGAGGAACAGCTTTTTTTAAGAATAAACTCAAGAAGAACAGACTACTTCAACATTTTTTAATCATAGGAAAAAAGAAGTCTAAGTAGAATCAGGTCTTCCACCTTTTTCTTCTGAACGTACATTTTCACTGAGACCCTATTTACACCAGGGAGAGGAGGTATTTCTTTTCCTGCTATTAGTTACTTTGAAAGCAGGATCCCATCATTGCTGAAAAGAGCCAGTGGTTGTCGTTTCGTGCAGTGACAGCCAAACACGCTGCCAGTTGAAGCGAGGTCAAAGGCGTGCACGCCTTCGCATGGTGAGAAGTCAGGCACAGCCCTCCCTCTCAACAGGACACCGTTCCTTACTATTTAGTCCAAAAAAAACCTCAAAGGCAAGATAACTGGTATCAGGCTTCACGTCATGACCTAGCCATCAATCAGAAACTTGAACATCTGCACTCAAAATGGGGCACGTGATTGTAAAACAGGCTTGAGTGCACATCACGTGTCTCACCCATGAAGGAGACGGCTCCTTTGGAGCCCGGGCAGGAGCGCTTTGCGATTTAACTCTGCAGCCGACTCCTTCACTGGGGAAGTCACTGACTCAGTGATGCCATGTGCCAAACAAGAAACAGCCATCTCATCTGACCAAAGAAATACTTTGCTTTCACATATTTTCCAAGAGCAGCAGGCTCATAACTGGGCAGCCTATGCCACAATCGAGTTCCTAAGCCTACTACTTCATACAGACCACCAACCTCTCCAGCCCTATGGCCAACTCACTGTGACCAGACCCTACCGCCTTTGTTGTGTCTGATTGTCAGAGCTCTTAGAGCTGACACTAAACCTTCATCCACATCAGGAAAAAAATCAGAATGACAATTAATCATTAGTGATAGAGACTGTGAAAGTTACGAAACAGGAGCAGCATAATTTTGTCCTTGGGAAGTTAACACGATAGCATGGACCCTGCCTATTTACACGTTCCCACCAATTCATCTGGCAGCTGCAGCAGTTATAAGTCATACTTTGCACAGCTAGAGCTGCAGATGAACACAGAATTCAAAACCAGATATGAAAATTGAATAGCTGGCAATTTAAATCTGGCATTGATGCTTTGATGAAAGTTAGGGAAAGCTGCCTTCCCTGGCAGGGTATTCTAAACAGCCAGCTATCACTTGATTTATAACCCTATAAATCCAACAGAGTACAAGTTTCTCTTCCATTACGTCATGTGCACTGACAATTTACCCCAGCCCCTTCCCAGCAGGGTGTTTTAATGGATTTTCCATGGCCTTGGTGGCTTTGGTTGGCTCTCTTTAGAACTTCAATATTTTGCATGGTTATAGACAAGGCTCTGATAAAGACATTTGACAGGAACAATCCGACGACATAAGAGTTTCTGCTTAAATCCCTGGCCAAAGGGGTTCAAAATTATTTTTACAACTTTACCATCACTATTGAGACTGACTTTTACAAAACACTACAACACTCTCTGTTCATACACCAAATGGACAGGACCAGTTGTAAAAAATGCATGAGGGTTGACTAATCGAAATGAGATAGGATGGAAGTGCTTCTCAAATGGCTGCTATTAACAAAACAGAAACAGAAGTTTGAATTTTAGAAGTAAAGCTCACCTGCAAATCCAAGCGTCATTAGACCATTAACTAGGGAGGAGAAAAAAAAAAAAGAGAGAGATGAGTTAGATACCTCCATGCTACTACATAAAAGAATTAGTGCAGATACAAGCAAACTTAAGCATAATTTAGGTTTCAATAGAATACTCAAAATGTTCATTCAAACATTAGTTTCAGTTTTATTGAAGAGTGTGTCTGGGAAAATGAACATTTAGAGAACATTACGTTTTTAAATTCCTTTTTATTTACCCTTTTATCATCTAAATGGATGAGTCATGCAGACTTGTTATGGGTCTGTCCACACCAC